ATTATATTTTGACTTTGAACTGGAAGTTTTTTTTTCGAAATCATTTGTGGATATTCTATGCCTTCTTAGAATTCTGATTATTTCTCCTGAATAATTTCATTAAATTTGAATACCACTCAATTTCAGTTGATACTACTGTCTGCACTGTATTGGTAAAACTGGTAATATAACATGACATTTTGGAGAATCGAGGACAACATGTTTTTACATAATTATTGAATACTTGTAAATCAATTTTTCATAGAATATAGGACCAAAAGATCTGATTCAAAAATTCGATATATTATTGTTTTCATTTATCTTGGTAGGGATGTTTAGTTGACTTAAAACTACTTATATTAGTTCAAATTTAGCGCGGTTTTGGACATAAGCTGCGCAATACGTTGTTTTGTTTGTCATCTGATTCTCAATGGTTCAGCCTCGGGACATATTTCGTGGAATTGTTCAGATGCGCCATTTTGCAAGTTTTACGTGGTAAACTGTTGTGGGAAGCTGGAAATTGAAAACTGTAGTGTTGATCGAAGACTTACGTTCGTGTCAGAATAAACGTTTGTGATTTCTGAAGGAATAATGGATATGAGCTCATATTTGACGGCCCCTCTGCAGCTAGATAAGATTTGCAGAGCATGTTTGACAGAAAAGGGAGATATGAGGCCCTTATTTGGAGCTTGTTTGGATGAAATGCTACATTCCTTTGCTGCCATAGAGGTGACACCTAATTTGTTTTGTGAAATCTCCTACACATATTTCATTTTTTATGTTTCCTGCAGCTCAGTTTTTATTGTTGATTTTATTTATTATACAGGATAAAAAAAATTCAGTAATAAATTTTTTAAAAGACAATTTTGTTAAAGAATCAATATTTTTCAATTTTCGACCTTTCACAACTCGAAAAATAAATCTATATCAACCAGAGGGGTGAATTGAAATGAATCTCCGAAAAGCTACTAATAAAAACAAACTTCTGAACAAAAGTATAATTATTTATTGAGTATATAAGTTATATTTACTGAATTTTGCCTATCAAATGAGGTGAAATAAAAGAGAAAATGTATGTGTACACTGCTTTATCCTAGCTAACCAACATGAATCGCAGTAACAATAAGTTGAAAAGAATTAACTTTTATATTTTTGTAAATGAATTGAGTTAACCTATTTTAAAAGAAATCTTCACTCGATAAAAAGTCAAAAAAATGTTTAGTGCATTCAAAAAATTGTTAGAATAAACATTTCTATTTCGATTCATTATGTTCACTTTGCTTATTTTTGGGTACATCCCTCATACATTAATATAATGGGTTTCCTGCCACAAAAATTCTTGATCTTCCTCAACACCAAAAAAGGCAGCCTTTTATTGTTAGGTACTCCTTATTTATTTCAACATAACTTGTCTTTGGCTCTAAAGGTTAAATACTTCTTGTATTGTGGAGATTCCGGCCTACATTTTCAATTGAAGTAGGCAATGGTAAAACCAATAATGTATTACGATAATTGAATAATTTTTATTTCATAGAAACCCTTTGTTAGCCTCTGATATACTGCGAACCACTCTAATGGTTTTTATATATCATATAAGCAGCAGAGTTACTTTACTTGATTGTTCACAAAAAACCCTGAGATAAGAATCCAATTCTTTAAAGAAATTAACCATCTTCATAATGCAATTCAGACTCTTTTTCACTGAGAAATCAGTTTAAATTGTTTACTTCAATTTCAGGTATCAGAAGATGATTCATTCCCTTCTCTTATGTGTGTTCAATGTGTGCTGCAGTGTAGTAGAGCATACACTTTCAAACAGTTATGTGAAAGATCTGACAACATCTTGAGACAATATCTCTCTCCTGAATTTCAGGTAAACACATAACTTGAATGAAACCATAAAGTTATCAAGTGAATTCGGATTTCAGCAACAACTTGCTCAATCATTATCAGAGCAACAACAACAACAAGCTAAGCAAGAGTTACAAGAACAGCTACAGTTTGCTGATGATATAAGTAATGTGGTCATAGAGGAGGATATATCAGAATTTGTTACTTATACTGATGAAGATCCCATAGCTGTGAGTGTACTCTTTTTTATTAAATATGTGTTTGTTGATGATTTTTTGGTTCAGGGAAAGGAAGGAATCTACACCATAGAAGCTACTACAGAGCCTGACAATTTAGATGAAAATCTACTAGAAGATATTAAGGTGCATAATGATAAGCTGAAATATCCTTGCCCAAAGTGTAATTTAGCATTTGCTTTGAAAGTAGATTTGAAGGTAAGATAAATATAAATTATTCATCAAATGAATCAAATCCTGTGATCCATTTCCTGATCTTTGTCCAATTTTCTTTTTCTTTGGTAATTATCTTTAAAACAAACACAACTGCAGTGCATTTGTTTCTAGAGGTTTCTTAATATTTGTACTGTGTACATTGAAAGGGGATAGTCAATGGGATTTGTTATGAATTTTGAAATATCTAGTTTCGAAAGAATAATTTTTTTTATTAAATCAGAGAAGTGTACATGGTTTGAGGTAAACGAAATTATTATAAACTAAAATAAGTGGATTGTTGACTGAAAATAGATTTTTCAAATCTCAGGCGGATAATCTCCCAGAAGTAGACATAATGGTGGTGTTTTTTTTTTAATAATTCAGAGAAGTGTACATGGTTTGAGGTAAACGAAATTATTATAAACTAAAATAAGTGGATTGTTGACTGAAAAATGATTTTTCAAATCTCAGGCGGATAATCTCCCAGAAGTAGACATAATGGTGGTGTTTTTTTTTAATAATTCATTGTTTGATTTTGCTTAAATGTGGAGTGTCAAAGCCAAGGAGTAGGTAGGAAATACTGATTTTTAGTACAGAATTATCCTGAATATGGAATATGTAAATACAGAATGTCTTGATAGCAATAGAAATTTTTGGTTTCATATTTTACCTAATACTCGTGAAACTCATGAAAACAGTCAATGAATAAATAGTGCTTCACGTTATTAGATTCAGTAAAAAATTAAGAAACTGTAACTCATTTATGCTACATTCTCTGCAAGTACTGAGAAAATATTTGTTTTTACTTGTTACAAAATTATTACAAATTTTACCTACAAAAAATAGTTTTCGCAAGTGAAAAGAGTGCCCTTTATTGATAACTCTTGGGAATCTTGTTCATACCAAGTCTTTCCTTTATAAAAGTTTTTTGGCATAGAATCGATGGTTCTTTTGTAATGTGGCAACAAACAATATTTGTAAACCAATTTTTCTCTTGAACCTTTTCACAGAATCAGCAAAATACACAGCTTGAATTTTATTCAGTACCTAATGAATCCAAATTAAAATGGAATGACATAATTTCAGATCAGATATGAAAATGTTGATGCCCCTTCAAGTGTACACAGTGTAAAAGTGTACACAGGTATTCACACATGTCTAGAAGTCACAATTTTTTTTGTCGCATTTTTTTTGTATGTTTGAATTTTTATCATTTCTATCACTTTCTAGAATTGTCGTATTTGAAAAATCATCATCATAATCAGTATAAAAAAATATGTACAAGTGGCCTATTGCAGAGGTCAATATAATGATGGATTGTTTGAATTTTCAATCTTGCTCTTGAAACTGCCGTGAACTGTATGTTTGAAAAATATAATTATTATCATTTTTAGGTCCATATGATGGCTCATCCCAAAGACCTTGACTTTGTGTGTGAAGTATGTAATAAAGGATTTGCAGAAGCAAGGATTCTGAAACGCCATCTTAAGATACATTTACAGAGTAAACCTCATCAGTGTGATCAATGTGATATGTCATTTACGGAAAGTTCGAATCTTAGCAAACACAAAAAGAAGCACACCGGAGAATTAAGGAATATCAAAGGCAAACCACATTTATGCTCAGTTTGTGGTAGGGCTTTCAAATGGGCATCAAGCCTTTCAAAACACATGAAGTATCATACTGGTCACAAGCTGTTGTCTTGTGAATATTGTGCAAAGCAGTATGTTGAGGTATGCTGAGGATACCTCTAGTATCTGACAAAAATACTTTTTTACACGCTTGTGAACTGTGACATAAGTTTTCTTGATATGCGTTTTGCCAATCCAGTTTGGAAAATTACCTAAACTAATTCCTGAGAAATGAGTTAACGTTTATATAGCTAACAAGGTGAATTTCCACAATGAAAATCATTAAATCAATGATTCCTTGAAAATGTTCGGATGGAAATGGAATTTTTTGTAGCTGTTTGTTATTCTCATGCCATTTGTTATGTGGAATGTTGTGAAAAATGTGTTGGTAACTAAAAGATATATTCAAAAGTATGGGTATTTTTCCTGTAAACATCATCGTTACTCATTTCATCCGGACATAGTAGTTATTCATTGTTTTCAATTTCATATGTAAATTTAACATGTCATTAAGAGTTGACACTTTTTTCACTTGCTCTCTTCATTTAATTTTTTGATAAACAGATTAGCCAGGAAGGGAAATAATAGATGGGTGTCCTTTTGTTGTGCCATAATGACTGTAGAAACAGTTGTTGAACTGCAAACAATTCTGCTTCATGTAGATTCATTGATTTCAAATATTCAATGGCCTTTTTTGTAGGAACTCTTGGGAACAAAAAGATAGTGAAGAACACTAAGATCTCTCAATATTGCTTGACTGACTTGCTGAATTCATGAAAATTTTGCTGAATTCATGAAAATTCAAGCCATTTCAATTTATAGTAAAATTTAAGAGTGTTTTTTTATTATTGTGTTAGTTATTTGGCCATAAGAGTGGACTTCAATTTTTGGGTTTTGCAGTCTTGTAGAATATTCAGGAATAGTCTGAAATCATCAGAAACATTCACAGTGTGGAACATTTTTTTTGTATGGATGGAGCTACACATTGTTAGTAGTATAGTGTGTTGTGCTGCTAACATTCATTTATTTGGAATTGTATGATGGGAAAGGCAGTTATAATGTGATTAAAGTATCTAATGTATTTTTTTGGATAAGAATCAATATTGTATCCGCCTAAATAGCTTTCCAATACCATTATTTCAAACAATAAAATGGGTTTACTGTTCAACAATGGTTATGTCATTGCTGACTTTTTTGAAAAGCTATAGAAAAATAACAATATGCAGTGGGTTAATTGTATTTCTGTCCAGACATAATTGGTGGGGGACTATAATTTATGATATACAATGAAGTTGTGATGATTGCAATAAAAGTGTGTCGGTTGAATAAAAGATACCAGTTCCATTTCATTGGTACCCATTATTATCATTAATTGTTGGCAAAGCGTGTTAAAACAGTTTGTTATTGTTCTGATGTATGAAAATATTTTTGTTGGATTCATAGAATTTCATTTCTGTTTCTTTTAGATTTTAGAAACATTCTAATTTTCAGGCTAGAAGTTTGAGAATTCACGTCAGGTCTCACACAGGGGAACGCCCTTATGTTTGTGAAGTTTGTCAAAAACGATTCACTCAAGTATGTAACTTGGAAAAACATCTGAGAGTTCACACTGGTGAAAAGCCCTTTCAGTGTCCAGTTTGTGGGAAACGGTGAGTTCTAATAAGAAAAAAGGAATATTGAGAGACAAACCAAATGAAATAAATGACTTCTTCAGATTCACCCAATCTGGTTACGTAGGCATTCACATGAGAACTCACACAGGCGCCCGACCTTATGTATGTCAGACTTGTGGTAAGGCATTCGCTGGTTCCAGTACCCTCAATATCCACCAGCTGACACATACCGGTGAAAGGCCCCACAGTTGCAACATTTGCGGAAAAGCTTTCAGTCGCCATGAATCACTTGTCATCCACACTCGTTTGCACACAGGAGAAAAACCACACGTTTGCAGTGTTTGTAACAGAGGCTTCACATCCTCGGGTCTACTGTCTGGCCATATGAGAACACACACTGGAGAGAAGCCCCATTCTTGCGATTCTTGTGGGAAAAAGTAAGTTTAAAATTTCACCCTATTTGAAATCTTCACAGAGACAACACAGACAAGCGATTGAGCGCGTATGTGAGCCTCGTCTTTTTTGGCTCATAATGGCAATGTATTTCAACAACATCTGCATAATTTGCAGGGCGTTGATTGTACGCCTGTCTGCTCCGGGTCCACGTTGGTGATATTTACCTTTTACATTCAACAACCTCAATATTGACCAGTCATCTGAAACTCCTTCAGAATGCCATTATGTATATTTTCGAAGAATACAAAGCCAGTACCATGTCATAAGCCCCAGAGAGCGATGGCAGTACGATATCGGTATTTAATATGGTTACCAACAGAATTGGGTAGCATTCGCTGACAACCAGAGGGCGATTTAATTTAATATTGGCGTACGTCCGGACTTCAATATAATCCGACCTACTGGTTGTCAGCGATTGCTACCCAAATATGTTGGTGACCATATTAAATACCGACATCGTACCTCCATCGCACTGTGGTGATCGTTATTGCAATTTATGTCAACCAAATGAAGAGTCTACTTCATTTCAAAAAACATTTTTAGAGACATGTTTGCTTTTATTTATTCAATAGCACTTGATACATTTCAACTCTGAGAAACTTCAGGAAAATGACTTTCGATTATTTTTTGGTTTTGTTGTCTGATAATCCTGAATGAGCCGATAAAAAATGTATGCGAGTAGAAAGTATGTTTTCAATCTGCAGCTCCTAAAAAAATGGTATATTTTTACATTGTTAAAAGTCCTTTATAATTAATTGAATGTGAAGATGAGGTGAAATATAGTGAGCATTGAATTTGAAATAATAAAAGAGACAATGTTTTTCATTGGTTCATAGATAAGTCTGACAAATTAATTTCACTTTCCAGAATGCATTATTTCCTAATTTGACACAGAATATGTCTTGCAGTATTTAAAGTTCCTGTTCTAGCATTATTCGAATTTTATTCCAAACTCCAAAAAACCATGTTTCTAAGATACATATTCTTTCCACGGATGTGACTTTGTATCCTATTCCAGAAAATTTTGTATACGAAGAAGGTGGGGAAAATCTCTATAACCCGCAAATTTCAGGTTGTGGTATAGAATTTCAGTACAATTATTCCACTTTTCAAAAAAATCCTTAAATAGTACATTACTTTTTGTAATAGGCTACAATACTCATGAATAAAAATTTGAGTAGTCAATTTTTATTCAACTAAATGATCATGATGAATCACTCATAATCCAAATATTTTTTTTTTAGATTTGCTAGTTCCAGTAGTCTAAAAGTACATATGCGGTCTCACACTGGAGATAAGCCTTATATTTGTAAAGTGTGCAATAGGGCTTTTTCCCAATCTGGACGCCTAACCCTACATTTGGCAACACATTCTCTTGAGGAAAAAACAGGCATTTCAAAACTCGAGACCGTGCAAGTAGCAGAGTTGATGTGAGTAGAACCTAAGTATTTTTATGAACTAAAAAACTCTGGAAATAAATCCAGTCATATAATCTCAGACAGTCTTAATGTTTTTTCTGTAGTGCCTGTGTTTTGTCCTTGTAAAACAAACTTCAATATGGACTGGAATGATATAAAATACAGCTTTGTTTTTGTTGTTACACTTGGTACTTCACCAAGTATATTTTTCTGTAACATTCAGATGGCAACTTGAAATGTATATCGAGTAGAGTCCTTCCAACTACACCCTAAATTAGTGCTTTTCTTCTTTAAAATTCCACCATTTCCACAATCATCACCATTTCTCTGTGTTTTAATTTTACTCCAACAAAATAATGACTTACATTTTCATTCAAGTTATCCAAATAACAATTAAATGAAGTAGATTTTCAAATATGCTTGAGAGTAAATATTAGTGACACTTTTTGAATACTGGATCATATGATTTTTGCAACATTGAACTTTTGTCAAGTTTAAATTTGATTCTCATCATCCAAATAATTAGTCCATGATCCTAAGAGTTTCTATGATATCTGGAAAATAATACGAATGTTATTGCACTATGTACATAAAAAATGCAAAAGCAAGTCAGAGGCAGAAATGTCAAGTGCAAATACATAAATACATATTTAGATCATAGAGACAGAATGCAACGAGATGTGAATAATAGTACCTACTGCCAGTCTTCAGTAATAGAACAAGGATTTCCTCGGATCCATTCTTGGGGCATTATCTTTTTTATTAACGTTAATGATCTCATAAAATATCTTCATATACTTACCCGAGTTCATAAAACAGCATATGCGGATGATGCTGATCAGGTAGAGAACTAGTGGTAATCTACCTGATCTCCAGAAATGAATGAAAACTGTTTATGACAGAGTCATTTAGGCAAACAAAATTCAGGTGGCTCTCGTTAACAGTAACAGTAAAGAGGTTTACATTGCAATCCTTAGCACAATTATTCAAAAATTTTGAAAACCGCGAATGTTGTTGACAGTTCAAAAACCAAAATGCTTGGGCTCACTCTGAATCATAAGTTCACATAGGGGACCTCTGTGATAAAGTACTTAGAAATTAAGAAATTATTACAAATCAAGATTGATGGCAAATAACTGCAGTAGAATCTTTTACTAAACCTATATCATGCAGCTATCATCTGTCATATCCATTTTTTTAAGACAAAACACAAGCAGTACAGGAAAATCCTTAAGGCGCTCTAAGAGCGGTGCCTGTGCGAAAGTAGCAATTCACATTGGATTTGAATCGTTGGAGATTAAATCCATTTGGAAAAACGTTCTCAGGATGTTTATTCCGCATAAACGCAGTTTATGAGGGAATGGAATCTTCAGCAAATAGAAAAGAGAAGTATGCAGAAAAGTATGCAGTTCGAATCCTTGCTCAAATAGATTGGAGACAAACTTGTAGAAATATTTTCGAGCACCTCAAAATACTAAGTGTGACTAGTCTCAATATTTTTGAGTGCATTTATGTATACAAAAATAAGTCTTAAGTTTAATCATGCAGCTATCATCTGTCATATCCATTTTTTTAAGAAAAAACACAAGCAGTACAGGAAAATCCTTAAGGCGCTCTAAGAGCGGTGCCTGTGCGAAAGTAGCAATTCACATTGGATTTGAATCGTTGGAGATTAAATCCATTTGGAAAAACGTTCTCAGGATGTTTATTCTGCATAAACGCAGTTTATGAGGGAATGGAATCTTCAGCAAATAGAAAAGTATGCAGTTCGAATCCTTGCTCAAATAGATTGGAGACAAACTTGTAGAAATATTTTCAAGCACCTCAAAATACTCACTGTGACTAGTCTCAATATTTTTGTGTGCATTTATGTATACAAAAATAAGTCTTAAGTTTAATGCAAATCAACCTGTACTGCTCTAGAAACTAGAGCAGTGTAGGTAACTAGTACAAATCTTCCACCCGAAATTCTATGTTCCAGAGGAGCCATCTTTTTCCTGGGTCTAAATTATACAAAAAGCTAGATGAATTTTTTAAAAACTCACCAAATAATTACAACTTCAAATCAAAATTGAAAACTTGCCTTGTTGAAAAAAATTGCTACTCCATAGATAAATTCAACTATGATCTTCATTGTATTTCCATTATTTCATGTATATCTTATACTAACTACACTTTTTGATAAGACGGAAGTATTCAAGCGAAGTTTCATATTTCAATGCTGCCAAGCTTTATAATCAGCTGTCTCCCTAATTTATAGATTTCAGTATCTTTTTTTTGTTTGAAGGTGCTTGACAATGTTTCATGATAAATTTCATGATGAGCTGAAAGTAACAATTATATTAGGCAAAAAAAAACCTGAAACGACAATAAAATAAAATACAGGCAACAATTGAAAATAAATTGAAATTAAAATATTTCAAGCCAAGGTACTTCATATCGTTTCGATTGTTAGTATTCACGATCGTCTTCGGGTGATGATGGATGAAATTTCTTCTTCTCGACCAAATATAAGAACTTGTTCTGATGATCTGGCTTTTCCATTGTTCATGATCTGTTATTATCATTTTTTATTATTGATCATTGAACCCTATATCGTTATTGTCTCAATATTTTTTCAGTTTCGTTATTTGTCTAATTGATTTATCATATTACAGTGTTTTGTCAAAATCTGTTAGAAATGTGAATACATTCGATTTATTACTTATTAAACATACGATTTATTACTTATCATTATTTTTAATTCAAATAAAACACGTGTTATGAATATTTTGATAAATCTTTCAAATATATACTGAACTGCAACTCTATTATTTTTTTTGCATCTGCCGATCTTTTGCTAATAAGAAAATCCTAGTATACAATCCTTTCGAACATTTCGAATAACTTTTATATAGTGTAGACTTTGGAATCTCTCTAAGTTGTTTTTGAAAAATCTCGATGACCACTGTTGGTCCTTGTCTATCAATTTATCCATTTTCCAGATGAAGATTATTCTTCCTACCAATTTCCAGCCTCATCAGAATTCATTTCGAAAAACATGGTTTGCCGTTGCATAAATCCTGCAAAGAACTTTGTAGGGAGATCAGAACTTTTTAGATAACCATAATAAATTCAAGATGATATGATATCAGATATGAAAATAAAGTCAAATTGACGTCTTTAAGGAATTAAAAAAAAATTGTCCGTGAAATAATGATTTTGTCCATAATTTAGGAATTTGTATTATTCTTTACTAATACTGATTGGTATAAAACCATAGATACAAACATTACATTCAACTGAAATTTAATGATTTTTTTCAGAACTGCTGACAACCAGACAATCCAAGTGCAGGCAATAACTACAATTTAAAACCTTCCCAATGTCATAAGTTTTGTGAATTGTGTTGTATTAAAAACTCAACTTTATTGGACATTTTATTCATATAAAAACAGTAATTTTGACCAGTTTGATCAGTTGTAGACCAGATGTTATAAAAATAAAAAAAACTTATGCAATACAATAAATAATCACTTAACTACACATATTCATTATAAAAAATTCACACAAAACATATCTAATGGTCAGTAGAAAATCAAAATTTTGTTAGTTATTTTTTGGCATCTTTAGATACAGTATATTCGGAGTTGCCCATTTTATTTTTCCACATCTTATTTGTTCGTCTGACTTGAGCTGCCAAATCTTCCACTTTGCTAACCCAGTCTTCTTCCTCTTCTTCTTCCTCCTCCTCAGACTCATTCTGGAAAAAACATTTGTTTGACATTCTTTGTTTCATTATATTGTTGAAAGCCTTTGCTGAAAAACTTACTGACAGTTTTTATTTCATTATAAAAATTGACATTCGTGTTATTAATAACCTGAAAAATTATTTATTCATAAAGTATCAGCCAGTTTTTCACAAACAAATGTTTGTGAAGATTAAATCGTTAGGTTTACTTTGTGAAATTACTGTGGATCTTCATCAAGTAACTACCGAGACGATCAGAAAAAAAGTATCATCATTTTGATGTTTAATTTGAATATTTTTTTTTTATTGAAAGGCATTCTTTTTCAAGTTTTCAAATACGAAAATTGTAATTTTTGAGTTAGAAAAAAAGTAAACAAGTAAATTTGTGCTCATATTATTTCAGTTAGTTGTATTTAAGTAAGTATCCCAAGTGTATTACTTACATGTTGTCAAACTTTACATCACATGTAATGAAATTATAATAGTTCTATTTGAATTTTGTAGAAAAACACACATTTTATATTGAAAAATGTGTCCGTAATGAATGATTGTCAAAATTATAAAGTTTTGTGTAGGTTGCAACAAGTTTTACTTTGCAACAGTGCAATTTAATAAAGATATAAGGTGAGATTTTGAATACAGTCTGAAAATTGCATTTAGAAAAACTAACCATTTTCAATATTTTTGAAACTTAAAACATATACTGTAGGCTTTACTCGTTATATTGTATATTCAAACCAGTAGAGGACCGGATTTGGAGTATGACAACTTATCTGTGTAGGACAGATCCAACTAAGACAGCAGTGTGTCCAGGACTTGACGGACTTCCATCGTATAAATATAGATGATAAATCAAATTTCAGTGAACATATTCGAATTTCATCTATCAAGTTTTCAGGACTACATAGATAAAAATTCATTGTGGAATCCAAATAGAGTTATTATAATTTGATCAAATGTAAAGTTTATTTGACAACTTTCTTTACAATAAACAATAACTTCTGCTTTGTTGTAGAGCAGAAATGTAAGTAAACACTAGGTTCGTTCCAACCTTGAGTCACAAACAGATTTCCAATTGTTTGTAAATCGTTGTCAACGCGCATGTCTGGTAAATATTGGTTTCTGATTAAAACTACATATATGTTGGGATATCCATATTAGTTATCGAGACTAACAAATATCAATAAGGAATTCTGTGAAGAAAAATTAAGTTACATCCTTGGATACTAGGTGTGTCACTTGTTTTATGTATCTCAATTTCAATTAGAGTAATGATGCTTGTTTGTTCTTACTGTTGAAACAAAACATTCTCACCCTGAAAGTTGAAGAATACCAGTCACATTCGTTTGGATACGGACTTCTAGAGGGACTGTCATCGTGGACTGAAGCTGTTCCTTGAGAGCCCAAACTCCAGGGTGATTGACATGTTGGTGGCGCGAATTTAGGGCAACGGATAACTCTGGGACACTGCCTTTGTACAGGCGGAACACACTGATATCGAAGATCTCTGAAATTTGAAAATAATAATTGCGAATGACCAATGTTTTAACAATTTAATGATTGGTTAATATGTGATGCTTCACAATCTTGGAACATATTATTAATTATATTGAACAAGACAATTTCATTAGAACTGTTCATACTATGTACAATCCCCCAACACAGGTTTTAAACATCTTTTGAATTGCCATTGAGTGTGTGTGGTACTTTCCTACTGTTCATTTTTGAAAAGTTTGAAATACATTATGAGGGAAATAATTGTAACACCTGTAGTACTATATTTTTGTTTCGATATAAATTTTATTCTTTCTATTATATTTGTTTATATGTTTGTTGTACCTATGCTTATGGAGTCCCGGGACCAACAATACTATTGATCTGGGATAATATTTATACTGTAAATATATTTTAAAATACATTCAATTTCGTTTATTTCCACATACATGAATGATCTTTGCATAGTTCTTGGAATCGAAAATACATCTGTTATCTATAAGATTATTTATGAAATTTTATTTTCTATTAGAGAGAACAAAATCCGAGCTGGTAGACCATTGTCGAAAACATTTTGTAGAACAAACATTCCGTCTGCTACTGCACCAGACATCTTCAGTGGTATGTGATGACAAAAGTAGTATCTCGAAATCCCAGCAACGACTGAATGGGGAGCTGTGTTCACTTCTATTAATAAATTTGGTGTTGGTGGTAGGGTGTCCATACGAATGTCACTCATGAATGATCTGCATTTGTGCTAGGTTGTTCTGATTGATCCACGTTGTTGACGAGTATGTTACTAGTGGGATGTTGATGGGAGTTGTATTCTACTTCATTTCTGACCTTAAGTACTGGATATCATGGTAATGGGTTGAATTAGATAGGACGGCAGTTTCTTTATATTTTATTACGTGGTCTGTTACTACTAAATGTTCAGCAATTGGGAATTCATCCAGTTGCATAAGTCGGCAGCTACGCTTGTTTCTTGTATCCTGGTGTTGATGCTGTGTTTAGTAGTCCCAATGTAAACTGAGCCACAGCAACAGGAAATCCTGTAAACACCGGCGGATGTCAGATGCTCTCTTTTGTCTTGGGCCAATCTGATTGTGTTGCATACTTGATTAGTTGGCTTGTAAATAGTCTTAATGTTGTGATATTATTATGCAAGGCAATAGGAAGTAGAATATTTCTTCTAAAATGTAGGTCCCCATTGATATATTGTGCTGTAAACCCTTTAGCCTGGAAAGTTTGGTCTAGATGACGAAGTTCTTCTTTAAGAAAATGTGTCTCACAAATCCTAGTAGCAGGATCAGCAAGGGTTTTCAAAATAGCACGTTCTGCCCTGGATGGTGGTTTGGGGTCTTGTTGAGATACCAATAAGTGTTTTTCTGTTCACCAGTACATCAAAAAATGGTGTTGTTCCTGTAAGGCCAATAGCTAAAGCAGTCTGATATCAAAACCAAACATTCATTTTTCGATAACAATTTAAAAAATTTCAAAAAATTATTTCTCACTGTAATGGCGGATATTTCTCACTGCGTGAGAAATCTTTTGTTCTGAACGTATGAAAGCGATGAGAGAAGAGGTACATTGTATAGCATCCGCAGAAAAACAATTATTCCATTGAAAATATACAAAAAGATAAGCAGGGGAACCAATGGTGCTATCAAAATTAGACGAAGTGGAAGGTTTGGCTTGTGAATCTTAGGAAGGCTGTAGGGTCTATACGGTAAGGCTTCAGATTTCCGTAATTGGCAGTTGGACTTGAAGAAGCATGGAGTGTTCATGAGAATGGTTGGACACCCCACCAGCATCACTCACATCCCCCTTAAATTCCAATACGAGTGAACACGGATCTCCCTAGTCAGTCATTACTCAGACTTCGAAATACTACCTTCGACCTTGCAGTCAAGACATACATCATTGAAGATGCCTGCCGCAGTAGAAGGAGAAACGTGACTCCAGCTGTAAAAACGTATATTCTCATACATGCGTTTACTGCACAGTAGCTTCATCAGTTGCATTAGTGTAGGTATATTCTTGTTTTGACTTGTCTATGAGAGATTATTCATTCTAAGATATGAATCAAAATGCCATCAGAGAATGCAGCACAATACATTTTCACAACTTGAAAATAGTTCAAGAAAATGCTTATTCACATTGAAAACTGCCTCATTGAGCATTATCGTTCAGATGTTTTGGTAATAATGTTTTAAGGGTACAGGCCACAAGATTATTACTAATTCATCGTATGAGGAAAGACTTAAGAATCGTAAAAATCGCAACAGAAATTATCGTTGAACGGTGATTTTGATGTCAAATTTGATCTACTTCTATTTGATATAGGAAGAATTTCTTCAAAAAGTTGTTAAGTTTTGATTTATGGGCGAAAAAATGAAGAAAATAACAAAAAATCAAAGTTGAAATTCGGATTTAGCATCCGAAAAAACATACAGATTGAATAGGAAACCTACTTCTATAATTTTCTATGTTCATATTTCCGCTACACTATATTTTACTTTTCATTATCAACTCTACTGACAGAATTTACTAATTTTTGTTTTTTTTTTCTTTGTACTTTTAATATCTTTTATGAGTTTTGGACAGTCATATGTTCATTATTTATATTGAGTTATAAATTAACATACATGAATAGTCTTATACCCGTGTAAGTGCTGTTTAATATTTATGTTATGGTATAAAATGTATGGATCTATACTTCTATCGGCGAGAATACTTTCATTATTGAAACACATGTTGTAATGTTATGTAATGCTGTCTTTGGTTGACGATGTTTCATGCTACATTTCATCAGTTTAGAGTTCCATTGTCTAATATGATATAAAATGATTTGAAATCCCTGACAGAATCAATAAAATTAAAACAATTAGCTAAAATAATTCAATTATATTAAGCAAAAAAAAACTGAAATTACAATGAAATGAAATACAAGCAACAAATGAAAATTGAATAATTAACAAGAAATGAAAATTAAAATTAATGACAGTCATCACCCGAAGACTGTCATCGCCCGAATCTTTCAATTTTAATTTTCATTTTTTTTAGCTAATATTTTATTGATTCTTTCAGGGATTTCATATTAGAAAATGGAAGTTCGAAGTAATGAAATGTAGTATACATGTTGTTGAATATTGACCTTACCTTTTTATTATTATTTTACCACTGTCAGAATTAAGGAATTGTGTTGTAATTTATTGTTTTCCTTCTTGGGTTTATCCTGTTAATGAATTAAATGAATATATAGTCACAGTGACAGATATTCAAATTTTTATCGAAGTCAGGAAAGGTATCTAGGAGGATACAATCATTAAATTTTTTTATCACCCTTCTTAGAAGAAAAAAATCTGCCAGTCTTATTTTTTTGTACTCTGTTGCACAATCAAGGAAACTGTAGTATGCTTTTATTGCAACTAAATTACCCAGATTTCATTCGCGTCAATACCTCACATTTCACCATTGATTTAACTAAAAGAAATTTGAATTGAAGTATGGAAATGATTTGTTGGTACAAGGGCTGGCAAGCCGTGATCGAATAAAACCTGTGGTACCAAACATTTCGTCGGCTGCAGTAGCATATGTAACGTTTGGATACTGCAGGTTCCATTCGACCTCGGCCTACCAGCCCGGATATTGTTCTCTTTATTCATTACTCCGGCTGTGAAAGCCTATGTTTCTATATTAATTTGTTGGTATTTGTTTTCTATTCTAGAATACTATTGTCATTATTGCTGTACTATTCATTTATTATTGTTGCATTAATGCAATTTTCCCTTTTAGTCATTCCCAAGTCTTTATGAATTATACCCTACATATCTTTCATGTACTGTAAATGGGTGAATTTTGTTGGGCGATCAACGATTTATTATTATAATAGTAGAAAAGTAGTTAGTTGTCGAATCATTATTCAAAGTTATTAGGGTTGAAAACTTGTATTAGTACTATTAATATTAGTTAGTGTCTCCCATGCAGAAAACCATATCTGAACATACTCTGCTTCTCGTTTCAACATATCTATGGTATTGCAATACTCTCTTTCCTTAGACATCACATACTGGTTTATCTTGTTCTGCTCTTGTAACCAGGATCGAAAATAATCAATAACATTTTTACTCTCGAAACAAATCTCATCTCGGCTATTTTTTACTTCATTGAGCTCAGTTTGTAACATTTGAATTGAGTCTTGATTATACCTTTGTTGTTTATTAGCAGAACTGTAAGAGGATTGCAGAGATCTCAGTTCGGTAAGGAGGTCATGGTTCTTTCGCATGAGGGCATCTTTTTCATTCTGGACCATCTGGAGCTCGGAAAGATACTGCTCAACCTGACCTTTCAGAAGCTGGCTTGATTCTTCTAGACCTGATACCGTGGACTGCATTCGAAGACTTTGCGAATGAAGTCGTTCATTCTGAAAAAAGATTAAAATCAATTTTTATCGAGACTTTTATCAAATTGTATGTATTATTTTTCAAATCTGAAAAAGGGACCATTCATTTTATTTCTAATCGATAAATCAATTCAATTGATTTAGTATTCCATTAATACACAGATTTAAAAGGAAACTTACAAAGAAACACAATTAAAACCAAAAGAGTTGTTCAGAATGCTCCTAAAAACAGTTCCTTTATATTCAAATTGATTTTTATTACAAATTCAAAATGTACTCCAACTATTTATTAAGTTGGGAAAAAGCGGTTTGACTTTCTATTTCTTCCAAAGAAAGAAGAACATTTAATCGCACACTAGGAAGGTGAAAAACCTTTTCTTTCAGAAAGTCTTCCTTTTTTTTCAATTTATTCTTTTCGTGAAATAACTTCATTAATATATTATCATCTGATTTAAATAATATAATATATTTCATTAGATAGATAGATAGATAGATAGATGCGTTATTCACCTCCAATTAATTTGCTTAGGAAAGTCAAAAATATATCAATGCAGCAATGCATGAATAGAATCTTACAGATACTAACATACAGGGTCGCTGATATGTATGGAAACGATCTATTATCTCTTTAAAGTAAGATGGCTAGCGAAGAATGTTAAGATACAAAAGTTTTAGGGTTTTCAAAATCTATCACACTAAGTAAAAATTGGGTAAACAGGATCAGTCAATAAGTCTTAAAGAAATAAAACTTTTTTTCTTTAATAAAACACCCTATATATTATACCATATTTCAATTCAGCTCGAAATACTGAACAAAATTATAACACATTATTTCCTGAATACAACCGTTTTCGAAATATCGAATGTTTTAGTCCATTAAGTTCATAGTCCATCAAGTTTCCTTTTGAAAGTTTCCAGCTTCATAACAACGCCGCGTTGATATTTTGTCTAACAGTAATGATCGTGACAACACATATCAAAAAGACATTTAGCGTAAATAATTTTCGCGCAAAAATGTCACGTTTAACTGATACTGAGCCTATTGAAATTTTAATAATCATAAGATACGGTGATAGAAGATAAAGTTGTGACCAAGTAGTGGATAATTTTATTGAATTGCATCCCAATCGGGAACCCATTTCTGAATCAACCGTTTCAAAAACATTGCAGCGTTTTCATAAAACTGGAGGTGTCAAAGATCGACCAAAAAGTGGAAGACCAGTAAGCGTTACAAATGAAGAAAATTCTCTGAATGTCATGTTAGATGTGGTGAAAAATCCAATAAATTTGGCACAACACAGGGCTTTGAATCATAACATGAGTCGATATTCCATTGAAAAAATTTGTAAACTGCAAAAATTCCATCTATATAAAATTCATTTGGTATAAGATTTGACTGAAGACGATTTTGGTCGTAGAATCGAGTTCTGTGAAGTTATTATGGATAAATTGAATGAAAATGTCAACTTTGTCAACAACGTATTATTTTCTAACAAATATACATTTTGTTTAAACGGGCACATAAATCGACATAACTGTAGGTATTGATCAGATCAAAACCACTTTTGGATGGAGGAAGTTCACACTCAACGGCCACAAAAAGTAAATGTCTGGTGTGGCATTATTGGTGGACACGTCATGGAACCCTATTTTATAAACCCTGGATAGAATCTAGCAACATCCGGCTATGCTAACGTGCGTAGGCAGATATTCATATACGTGAGAAATATTCCAAGGAAAAGATTTAATTTGAACTGTATAGAGCATCCACAGTTTCTCTGGTGTGTACAACTTTCTAGTTCGCCATAGCATTTGTTTCTAAAAAACTGCTTTTGGTTTCCCTCTTTTTTATTAATGATCCATCTCTGAAATTACAATGCTCCACCCTATTATACAGTGCCTTCATTTCAAAACTTCCCACCCCTAGTACTTCGTTTAGCAGGAAGAATTTGCCGTAGGCAAAAAACACGTCAATTNTTGACACCAGGTGGCGCCACCTGCTATAACAATTTTTACGTAATTACCCATGCGTCCAAATAAATAAAAATATTATTTTGGTACGCCTCAGAAGAGTTGGTAAGAGGATTATCCGTTGGTCACTTCAAGTGCGACGTTTCTAATGAATCACCTTCAATTGAAAATTGCTATAGTATAGATATATATTTTATGGACAGTTCCAAAGTGTACACCTACCTCTAGCGGGTGTCTTCAATTGAATTCAGCCCCCGCTTCACAAAAAGACATCGCGCCTTCACCAATTTTTAAAACAATTTCAGTATTTTTCGAAGTGATAGGCGTGTCATGTTGAATTTTGGTAATCAAAATGAGCTGATATCAGTTAAAATAAAAACTTCAAAAATATTGAAATATGAACAGGAACTCTCGAATAGAAAACAACTGGAACATAGGAACAATACCCAATACAAACACAGGAACAATGGACACAATGTGAACAAAAACACGGCAGAAACAATAGGAACTATAGTGATACAAAGAATAACAATACTAGAAACAACAAATGCAATGAAAACTGGTCTGGATGTTAATACAACAAGATCTTTCAACAATATTGTCAAGTTGACAGTAAATATCAATGAGCAAATGAGCAACTGGTAATCTCAGGGTAGGTACCACATGATTTTTAATTAGTGAAACTGATGTAATTCAGTCCCTTCAAATGATTTCAGACAACAAATCAGCAAGAAGGTAAAATAATCTAAATTCTTCCTATTTACTGAGTGCGATTTTTTGTTTTAAAATTAACAGAGGTGTTTCCATGAAAAGTGGAACACACTGTATATAATTTTGTAATGTGAAACCTATATAGACGAATTCATCATCAATTGAAATACGTAAGTTACTTCGAGTATTTCATGCATATTGAAATTGATCTTCACATTACACTCTAAATTAATATCTTAGAAGTTATTACAAAAAAATAACTATCGCACGACCAAAAAAAATGTTTGCAATTGCGTTGGTTTTGTTTCACATAGTAATGTAAAGTTTAAGTAAAGGATATAGTTTGTGGAGATCAAATCGTGAGGTATAATTTTTGAAATTACTATGGATCTCCATCAAGTAACGGTCGAATCAATCAGGAAAGTAAACGATATATTGCAACCTACCTTCCAACAGCTCCCCTTTAATAATATAGTTAGGGAGCTAAATAATTTTGTTATTCAATANTTGAATCTCCATGTTCCATAAGGTTTGTTTTGACTATTTTACGTACAGTTGAAAAAGGAATTTCGGTCAAATCTGATGTTGCTTGTAATAGTTTGTTTCCCTCGAAACTAAACTTGAGATGTAAATTCTTATATACGTTGAAATATACTCTCTGTGTTTCAATATTCGAATGTATCCGAATCTTATTCGCTGGGATCTCTTTTTCGCATGGTTCACCATCGCTATTGGAATCACTACACAGGAAAAAATATACGTTGTTATCACATATGTTATTACTATTAGTACTTGTCCAAGGATACCACATTTCAAATAGATAACAAAAATTTTAAGTGATCATAACTGCTCCAATATCGAATTTCAACACTCACTGACCTGAACAATGACAACACGACGGCTCGCATTCTATTCATCACCGTAACATGACTTCAGAATTTAATTTTATGACTCTTCAGCCAATCATAAAACTCGGTTAGTGAAAATCATCCAATATACGAACCGCCAATTCTTCAGTCCACGTGGACTAGTTGGCAGCGGCTTTATTTCTTTGTATTGGTTTTTTTGGCCTTTGAGGGCACCGACACTTTAAATATGCACAATACCAATTACTTCGACTATACCCGTCCAGTTGATGACTCTACCATGTAGCAAAACGTGTCTTGAATGAATCTATTGTAGAAATTCTTTAACTATTTACATGGATACTTTCACATAGTAAATCACTTTTGCGATTTACTATGTGATTCGTGTAGATTATAGATCTTTACTACTACTTAAATATTGAAATTTATAGTTATGAACATATTTTTGTTTCATTGAATTTTATTAAGGTACTATCTGCAAAATATCCCGTTGAATTACTGAGACAAAGTTTAAGGTAATATCCAAGGAGTAACGACCTAACACGTTGTATTCTCTATGAATATATTTGAATATCAATGTTTTATTCCGTACCGATTATTCAGAACATTCGAAGCACGAGTCACTAATTTTTTGGCTGGTGAATGCGGAAGTGAATAGGCGTTTAGATATTAAAGAATGCTTTTTGAAGGATAATTGTTACTTTATCCTTGGATCTGAAACGTCTCGAAAAAATTCAACTAGGTTGAATTATATGGCTGTGTAAACATGAATGCCATCCTAAAATATAATTTTTGGTATTTGATATTAAGGAAAACATTGCCAAAAGTGCTTTTTTCAACTTGATACAATACTGCTTTCGTACGAGAAATATTATGGAAAATACTGGACAGTAATAATAAAGAGTTAATCACGAAAGTTGATATTCGGTATAGCTTACTGTCTCGATGTAGCATTCACTGCGAACAGACAACTAAATCAAACCAGAAACCAAAAGTTGTGGATGAGTGAACCAGTATCATATGCACTGTTTTGATGTGCTATAGATCTCAAGAGTGGTACTTGGCAGGATTACGAGTGTGATATTTCAGCTCATATGTGTCAGAATGGAGTGCGGTATTTTTAAGAGAGTTTTACCTCATGAGTCATTTCACTCACTCATTCCAGTCTATTGATTCGTCAAAAACTCCATAGACTGACTTGTTATTTATGAAAACCTTATCTTGAATTTTGATCACTTATCCATTAATTTTTGTCAAACCTTTCCAAATCTAGTTGATCTTCGAAACCTTCATGACCATCACCTTTTTCGTCTCCAAGATTATTTCCAGTCTGCTTTGGTTCTTCATCCACAATTTCATCTGAATCATTAACTTCCTCGTAGGTTTTTTCTTTTAATTTCTTTTCATTTTAAACCATGTTTTTGACAGCCACATTTTAAACTGTTACATTCAGTTTCACAGCTGCAGCAAATAGTTTT